GTGCAGGGTCTGCTGGCTGGGTGCTGGCAGGCTTGCAACTGGCACAAGCACTGTAGCCAGACCGTGCCCCTTTAAGGGCTCCAGGACCGGAGACAGAAAAGTTTCCCTGGTTTGGCCCAGAAAGGCCACCAGGACAACCTGGGAAGGGCTAGCCTCCCACTAGTTCGAATTAAGTGGCTACACAGCCCTTAATTCGAACTACTTAATTCGAACTAGGCATTAGTCCTCGTAGAATGAGGTTTACCTAGTTCGAATTAAGCGCTCCGCTAGTTCAAATTAAATTCAAACTAGCGGTTTGTATGTATAGCCGCTATTAAAGTTAATTCAAACTAACAGCTGTTAGTTCGAATTAACTTTGTAGTGTAGACATACCCTTACAGTTTTGCACATAAATTGTAGACTTCCATTATCGTATTTTTCTTCCATTGTTCCAGATGGCAAAGATGGAACAGACCATTCCAGATAGGCCACCCCAATTTCCCTGGGATTAGAAGAACCTGGCCAACATCCAGTGCTCATGGTGCATCTCAGTGGTGGGAGGCCAGAATCCCACCACCATTCCCGGTGTGATCAGGTTCTCTTGTGATTTTAGGCAGGCCTCATCGGTGACATGCTTTCTGAGAAGCTCATCATTGCTCTAGAACCAGAAGCCGCCTCAATCTGGTGCAAGCAGCTCCCACAGGAAGGCTTTGTGGCAGAAGGTGGTCACAGACAAAAGTTTGAGGAGTCACCAGGGACCCAGTATGTCGTGGTGGATTGCGGAGGTAACTTTTCCCCTCTTAAATAAGTAAAAATCTCTGCTACCTGCAGACTTTGTCTGTTCAGTAGACGCAGCCTCTTCTGGCGTAGAGAGCAAGGCACTGAGCCCTATACGGAACTCTGATCCTCCATGCTCTGGTTGCTCTGGGTTCTTTAATGTCTACCTGAAAAAACAGGCACCTGAAAGCTTGTCTAGATGGAGCTTTAGCCTATACTAAGTGAAGTTAATGAGGAGTGAAAAAGCTTGGTATACAATACAAATCCCTGCAGCATGTTAACTCCCTATTTACAGAGAATTCTATAGTCCTCTTTCAAAGAGTACTCAAGCTCAATGCAAATTGAGTCAATGTGGAGTATTATGTGCCAAACAATGCTGCACCATTTTGGCAGTCCTCCAATTGTTATCCCATAATACTTTATGGGCATCTGTGACAAACCTGTTAACCCAGTGGTCCCCAACCTTTTCTGGTTGTCGGGCGCCAGGGGGCATGGCCGTTCTCCCGCCGGGCGCTAGGGGGCAGGGACACTTGCCCGCCCAGGGGCGGGGCCCCCCCAGCTGCATGCCCGGGGGCGGGGCCCCCCCATAGCCATGTGCCCGGGGGGGACCCCACCCCCCCG